AGTGAATTTATTTAAAAAAAGTATCTTTCAGCAGCTATACAGAGATAAAAGTAGTGATTAATAGGCCAAACGAAAGTGAGGTTCACGAGAACACTGAACATCGTCTTGAGGATCAGAATTTGTATCCAACCATCTCAGTTCATTGGGTCTCTTCATCTTTGGTTGAGTATTTATGTGAGTGAATGGTGAGCCCCGGGATTCCAAATTTTCTTCGTATATCAGCATTCTTGCGCTCCTACTTCACATTGTCCTCTGCCATGAAGAAAGGACAGGGCAACAAACAAAAAATTTACAAGATTTTATATCAGCTATAGCTACAGTTTAACTGAGTTCAATGCTAATTTGTGCGCTCAAAATCAATCCCCTTTACTAATGATCATCGATAATTTCAATGCACGTTCAGAACATGGCTGAGACAGAGGCAGAACAAGGACTCGATGGTGTAATCGGTAGCTCATGTACCCCTGAAAAAGATGATCACTGGCTCAAAGTTGTCCTCGTTTTCGAGTCTTTCTTGTATCACATTATACCTGTAGTTGTCTTTCACATAACGCCATACCGTGAAAAAAAAGAATAGGTGGTAAATAAAGAAAGAAGTTAGATGGCTCTGACCTCATTTGCCAAGTGCATGTTCCCGTCTCTTCGCTTCACCGTTTTGTGCAATTTGTACGACTTTTCTCGTATCATCACCAGGATTGCTGTGTTTATGTTCTACACGCTCGGCTTTTGATCGTTTACCTGACGAGCCAGTGAATTCCTAGATAAAGAAAGTTTGCTAGGAATAGCTAATAGTGCCATTCAATCGACTGGTTTTCATTACCTCATTATAGAATTTCATTATAATCAGAGAAATTGTTGGAAGATTTTTCGAGGGTTGGTATGTCAATGGCTTACGCACACATCAGCAGTCTCGCCCGCCTCATCAAAAAATGAGCTCGGATAACAACACATTGTGTGGTCCTACTATGAGTCTCTCCGTTCTCTACTATTAGTAGTTGTGACTGGTAGGGCGTCTGGCCCTGATGAGGCGGGCGAGACACCCGAAACCTACGTAAGCCACCGACATACTAAACCTCGAAGAGGATTGAAACAGTCACTTAGAATGGATCGCAACTAATGATGTCGGCGCAAATCATGCTGGAATGATGTCCGTGCAGCATCTCATGAGATATAAATGTAAATATAAGCTCAGTATGTGACCAATTAAAGAAATTATACATAACTTTACCAATGGAAGTGGATCTGGTCACACAGGATGTGCCACTTTAGATATTTCCCAATAACTATGACATCTTGCATGCTGATTTCGAATGAAACCACGCTGCGAAAAGGAAAAAAAATCAGAAATCATTTAGACTAAAAAGTAGAGCTGACGGCGCTGAGCAATCCCTAGAAAATGCGTTATTCTTTCGGTTCTATCTAGCATAGTCTGAGATGACTGAGTGCATTTCCAGCTTTAATATGACTCTGCGGACTACTCAATGATCAAGTCAGTGCTGAAATCCTCCTAGAAAAGTCTAGTGACGATCGCCAACCCCGAATGGATGGTAGGCTCGGTGAGCCTAGGGCGCTGGATGGAACCATCGACCGCATGCGTGTGTGAAGCACCTTTAATCACAGCGCACAAACGCCCTTCACATATCACAAAATGTCTAAATAATATGAGATGTCATTGACCTTGTCCACTTACGACAACTGGAGTACCTGTTGAAAAAACTTTTAGAAAGATGATTACTTGGTAGTAAACTTCAATGTGGGACCGCCTGAGTTTTCCGAACAGTACATAGACACATATAGTTGGAAGATTGTGCACCTCCACCCGCGAACGAAACAACGCGAAAAAACAGTTCAAAAGCCATGGAACGGATAAGAATCCACCTTACTGGCCGTACTCTAGTCCTTTTCTTAGCAATTTATTGATCCGTCTTCACAGTTTCTTCGCCGTGAGGATCCCAGTACTTCTTGCATTCAATTCGTTTTTCTTCTTCTTGAACGTCACAGAATAGTGGTTGACCACGTCCTTGCAATGTCGAGGATAGCGTGGCTGTGGTGTTCCATAAAGCGTTCGTTCTTGAGCACAGGAAAAGGTTGGGTGGAAAAGTTCGGTCCTCGCCGCGCCGCAACGAGTATTACAACCACTCGACCATGGTCCCCTCCCCTCATATCTAAACAGTGGAGTCTTCACGGACCTCATGTCCGAGAATTACGAGAACAAACTTGTGGAATTTAAGTACCTTACGACTCCCTAAAACTATTTTTGAAAGTTGAAGAGCCACATTTGGGAAAAATATTCGATACATAAGCTTCTTTTCCATATTGTTGACTATGAGCTCCTACACACAATAATGCGAGGTACAAAAAATGACGAAACGGTACTCGCTGCAAAAGAAGCTCCAAGTGAGTTCCAGCATATCCAGAATATTGTTAAACCAAGTGATGTAGAGTGATAAGCAAAACTTTCGCGTCAGCCGGGACTCGAACCCGCATCTCACTCTATCCGGGTGCGCGTGCTCTAACCAGCGTGATTGAGTTCAATGTCATACCGACTACGTGAGCCAGGCTGTTGACGGTTAGCTACTAAGAGATAGATGCGCTTTAACGTAGAAAGAGTGGTGTGCAAAATGGGCGTCAGTAGTGCAACGGGTTATAGCACGCGCTCCCGGATAGGAGATGCGGGTTTGAGTCCTAGCTGACGCGAAAATTTTGCACATAACTCTACATCACTACGTATATCCATAAAATCTTATCACCGCTGACTGTTGTCAAATAAAATAATACCATTTGATCAGAATGTCTAGGAAAAAGTTAGAACAAATTATACGAAACAAACAAACCGGTCCGCCATCCTTTTCGTATTCAGCGGCCAACTGCTCAGCGTTGCTCATAGTCAGAAGTCTCAGAAATCTAGAAAACAAATACAGTTATATCCATATATGCATATGCATATATATATATATATATATATATATATATATATACGCGTATACACACGTGTATATGCATACACATCTAAGCCTAAGCCTAAGCCTGAGCCTAAGCTACACATATATGTATATATATATATATATATATACAAGCATATATACAAAGGTACACATCTATGTACATGTGTATGAACAAATTTTGTGAATCTCAGAAGACAAAACACGTGATTAGAGGTTTGAAAACGATTTCTATGCCTTCTATTCAAGCAGTCACTTGATTCAAAAGAGGTATTACTAAACATTCTTGCTGAAAATATAGAAACTATGAAGGAGAAAAGATAAGAGGACGATAGAAGATCATTGTCAAATCGACCTAGAACATTGCATAGCTCAGAATATGAATTCCCGGGCTGCAAAGGAAAAAACTCTGGCCTTGGAAAGAAGACTTTGGGTGAAAAACAGGGGAAATTCATACACAGCCATATCACAACACGCCACTGCTGTAACGATAAGAACCGAATGGCACTGTCAGCCCACAATCGATCGATCAATCGATCGATAATCGCGGTGATCGAGCCACTGTCCGATGTGGTGCGATCTGTTGACGTCGCAGTTTTCGTTACAGGTGGGAATCGATGTGATCGAAAGGACAACCGCGTACAACACATGCATGTCTTTTGAACTGATTTATTTGGAGAGCACGCGATGACACCTGAACACATTCAGCTGGGAATTTCGCTGATTCAAAAACATCAGAAAAGGGCTTGGAATGTGTCAGCGATTATCGATTGGTATGGGAGGGGGGGAGCGTAAGATAAAGACACTAATTTGGAGATAAAAGTGCCTCGTCTTTGATCTATGATGGTCAGAACCGAATTTCCGCATGTTCATGATAGACTGAAAGGACTCACGACTCCGTTCGTTTCGAGTGTTTTCTTAACACCACGCTCAAATTTCAATACATCTGAGAATTATTTTTTTTGAGCCAACATGCCATGTCCTCTTCTAAGGGCTACTTATAGAGCCTGATACACGTGTTTCGGCCTTGACAACCTCGTCAACTGGGCAGTAACCGTGGTCTTAATCAGCTCTCTCAGGGGGTTCCTATCTCCCTATAGAAGACCACATGACATGTTGGCTCGAAAAAAAGAAATAAATATCAGACATAAAACGTTTGTCGTCGCTAACTCTTATCGTGGGGACTGGAGCACCCACACAGGATTGGCAAAAGACGAGAAAGGGTAAGTGCCCGACTGACGAGATCGCAAGATCGAAACACGTGTATAGGGCTCTATAAGTCAGCCCTCCTTGATAGACCATTGACATGCGTGGCTCAAAAAAAATTATCTGGCATATTGAGATTTGAGCTTTGGTCTTAAGAAAACACTCGAAACGGACACGACGACTTCTGGCTTTTGCATGGAATTTAAGATTTCAAAAACCGGAAAATTTACATCGCAATATTCAGTTTCAAAAAAACAAAATGACACTATTTTAGACACATAATGTGATCCGTCTTCAGAGGGATTCCTTTCACTGTGCGAATCCCAGTACTTCTAGCATTCAATTCGTTTTTCGTCTTCTTCTCAAATGACGTAGAATCCTGATTGAGCGAGTCTCTTTGCAACCTCGAGGATATCCTGGCTGTGGCGTTCCATAAGGCGTTGTGGAATACCGGAGAGTTGAGGGATGGAGCTCGGCCCCACGCGCGCCGCGACGAGCATCACAACCACTGGGCTACGCCAACCCCTACAGAATGATACTATGCTAGGTTATTGTGCTTTTATTTATTTATTTGTAGCAGTGAATGAGGATGAGTTGCTGCTAATATAAAAGTCCGAGCATGAAATTTTCATGAGCATCTGGTTTTCTTCTTTATTAAGATTTATTTGATTTAATTAACTTTTATTTATTTCTGAGAGAATTGAGTGGTGAGCAAAAACATTGTCTCAGACGGGAAGCGAACTCGCGTTTCATCCTATCCGGGGACGCGTGCTCTACCACTACACCGCCGAGGCGCATTTGTCTCACCACTCATTCCTAAGATACCAAAGCTGTTGAAGGTTGGTGGCTGATATCTCGGTCGTGCAGTGGTAGAGCACGCATTTCCGTATAGTATGAAACGCGGGTTCGATTCCCGCCTGAGGCCGTGTTTTTGCTCACCACTCAATTCTCTTAGGAATATATGAATGATCACAACACTGCGAAAAATGCAGTAAAATACTAGAAACTTCCTATTTATTTGTTATTCATTTAACTACTTCATTCATTTATTTATCGCGCGAGTTTTACATGAAGAAAAGGATATGTTCATAGACAAATGTCGATGGGTATATAAAAATCATTAGCGATAAGACGATGGAACAAAGCCTCTTTTACAATTCTATAGAAGTTCAATCATCTAAAGTCCAGTAATAACAAAAATCTACTCGAATCATCAACGATCTGGTGCCGTATGCTGAGTGAGTATCATTTTTGGTGAACAATCCATTGTTTTCAGATTGTTTCGAGATGTTTCAATGGGAATAGCCGTACGAAGTCTTTTCCAAAGAGAACTCACTAATAAGAAAGATCGAAAGACGACGGGTTCTGCCCGACTGACGAGTCTGTAAGGCCGAAACACGCGTATCGGGCTGTACAAGAGCCCTTACCAGACCACATGACATGTTGGCTCAGATAATAATGAAAGGATCTATTGAAATTTGAACGTGGTCTTGATAAAACACTCGGAATAAAGGTATAATATGATAAAAATACCAGCCAACGAGCAATCGAGTGCGAAAACACTGTGTTAAGGAGAAAATTTCGCTTGACATAGAGTGTAAAACGTCGTCGATGACTCTCTGTGGGGAGAGTAGGGCTCCCGAGTGAACCAAGTAATAAAAAGATCGAAAGGCGACGGGTTCTGCCCGACTGACGAGTCTGTATGGACGAAACACGTGTATCGGGCTGTACAAGAGCCCTTACCAGACCACATGACAAGTTGGCTCAAATAATAATGAAAGGATATATTGAAATTTTTTCTATGATAATCCATTATACTTGGTTAATGGGACTACTCTTCATAAGGGGATGTAGGGTCCCCCGAGAGAATGGGCTAGAAGCCAAAGGGCCTGCCCGACTGAGTGGCTATTCTAGGCCGAAACACGGGTATCGGGCTGTACAAGAGCCTTACCAGACCACATGACAAGTTAGCTCAAATAATAATTTTCAAGTATATTGGAATCACAACTGTCTATGCATTGAATGGGATCAGAGGCGAAAACGACTGCAGAACACGCTAGGGGTTCCGAATGCGAAATGCGATTTTCTCTCCTCCATACTACATTGCACTAAGGGGGCCATTTCAAAAAATAGAACACAGTTTTGAAATTGCCGCTCCTCAAGCTATCGATAAAAATAGCCCAGTCCGGTAAAAAAAAACAACTGAATACCAGCTCGATTCCTAGACGGGCACGTAGTCCGAGGATCAAGATGCGTGCATTAACAAACGGAGTCTGCAATTACGTCCCCTGCACACTACATTAATAGGTAACGTACCCTGTCGAGTTATGAAGTCGTTCTATAAGGTTTGCCCCTATTGCAATAGGGGATGTTGAGCAGATGATTTTGGTGTCGTGCAATTACGCATTTTCTTGCGAGCATTTTGGTATATATCTTGCCTAGACTTGCTTTAGGATGGAGCTGTCGTGGGAACAAATTCGCTTGTTAGTCATGCACGAATCGCGCGTAGGGAAAAATACTAGTGATGCAGCGCGCAGGATTAATGGAGCTCGGGACGATGATAAGGTTGCAAAAAGGACGGCTAGAAAGTGATACGCGGAGTACAAAGCTGGAGAGAACAGTCCGAAGTCGATCAGTCGCGCTCGGATCGTCCCCAGGATGGGTCCCCGGTTCTTGCGCGCCGCGTCGCGAGCATTTTCCCATGTGCGCCATTCGTGCATGAGCAACAGTCAGATTTGTTCCCATGACAGATTCTCCATCTTAAAGCAAGTATGGGCAAGTGGTACGCCTAAGTGTTCGTAAAGAAAACAAAATCATACGATTTTAGTTACGTCTGATTAATGAATTTGGTGTGTATTGTTCCAGTGCCAAAACTTATGGAGCAACCTAGTGAATAGAGTTCTCGGTTGCTCTGCTCGTTATTTGGATTCAGTTCTCATGTTCATTGCGAATGAGATCGATTTTCCATCGGTTTCCGGATAACGGAAAAGAGCCACAAAGTTTTATTCAGCGAAACGTAAACGTAGCAATAATGAAAATGCTCAGCGCGTGTGGAAAATAATCTGATTTTCAGTGCTACAGCGCTATGAAAAGGCCTCTTCGAAAATCGAGCACGTACATCAATATCCCAACATTTAAGCTTTCCAATGGTTTCTAAGACTTGTATAAAAAGCTCTTGCACAGCAAAAGGGCCGCATCTTCACTCTTGCCGCATAACCAAAATGAATTCAATTTGTTGACTCGAAAGCCATGCAGAGATCGGCTAGAGGGTTAAAGGGGTCGAACTGTTGGTTGTACGGGTTTCATTGAAGAGCGTCCGGTACTAAAGCGCTTCCCGTGACAGGATTTGGGTATGTTAGAATATTTTAAATAGTACAATAAGGTTATTTCTGGAATAATGATCTCTCACGTTACACATAAAGGACAAAGTTCTCAGCGTTGATCAATTTAGCTTCGTTTGAGGTGATTGAATGCATATTTGGCCTTTACAATGACTCGCGGTGGCCCCCGCTGTATCTAGTCAATGCTGCTTATCCTCCCAGACAACTCTGAGACCAGTCCAGTAGTAATTTACAGACCCCGCGGGGGTGGATGGCTTGGTAAGCCATTAGCGCAATATCGATATATATATATATATATATATATATATATATATATACATGTCGTGTGCTATATATACATATATATGTGTCAAAAAATTTACTAGCATTCTTTGTTTTTTTGCAGAATGTCAGTGTCTTCTAATAAATGATCACATTTGAAAGGGTTAGGTGTTTGAGTAGAAAGAATCATTGACTGAACAGTCTACGCGCACATTTTCCATTTTACATTACAAAGTCAGTTCCATCCAAAATGATATTTGGGTAATTTAATTCTTATTATTTACAAATTGTAATTTGTGGTAGTGTAGTCCATTGTTAAGGTGCACGAACGTTGTTATTACTTAGTTTGAGCACAGCTGAGTTCGATTCGCGGATTCTCTTAACACTACTAGAGCGACAAAAAGGAAACTCGTGGTTCCATTGATGAACAAAGCAGACCACCTCCATTGACTAACTTCATGGGAATAATATCAGTGGACACTGAGTTCGTGAATGAATATATAAAAGGGTTTTTTAATGATGCAGACGGTGAGTGTGGTGCAGTGATTTTAGGTGCTCGCGATGCATACGTAGTCAATTGTTCGTCCCGCTCCCAAGGCGGAACCAAGCCTTTCAACACTTCGTGGTTGGCGAATTAACACCATACTTCTTTCGAAAGTAAAGGCACTGATTGATACATTTATGCACTACCACTCGTTGAGGAAAAAGTCACACATACATTCAACCACCTGAAATAATGTTTGATGAAGTCGAAACATGGCACATCTCTCAAGGATTAATCAGCACTGAGAGCCTTCAGCTTTTATGAAGTGTGCGCAAGGCCTGAAAATTACCAGAGTGGGATAGTAATTGATGTAGTTGATAAATAAATCACTGGTACCATTTCTTTTACGGCGAAGAATGAAACGTCCTCATTTGATAATTTGGAGCGATTGGCGTCCATCGGTTCTCTCCATTCTGTGGTGAACAGACGCCAGCAGTTTAAAAAAACTACTCCGATCCAGACTATTCAGTTTTTGCGACTTTGTGTGATGCTTATGCAGCCTATATAAGGTGTCCTAATTCCTTGCACGCCAACCTGCCCCAATGACAGCTACCGGTTATTTCGGAGCTGGTCTGTGCCTTTTTGGAGTGCTTGTTGCGCTAGTGACGATCGGTCAAATAGCCAACGATATCTCTTCACTGCGTGACGAAGTCACTGTTGGCCTAGACGAGTTTCGAGTGATCGTCGCAGACACCTGGGACCGACTGATGGTGCTACAAAGTCATACTGGTCGTACAGCTAGCGCCATGACCAGTCCATTTCGTCTAAAACGCTATATATATCCGGGAATGTGCGACTGCGTAGAAAACTCGATCGGATGTCCACCTGGTCCTCCAGGAATGCCTGGAGCACCAGGGCCACGAGGAGAAGAAGGTATGCCCGGTGACGACGGCCGACCAGGAGCACACGGAATCACACTTGCATTAACACACGACATGCCTGGAGGTAATCGTTTTCGAAGTATAAAGATACCATCGAATTGTAGATTTTGTTGAATTCTGATACATGATATAGCATGTTATATTTTGTTCTATGAGCATCTTTTTACGTAATCAAATTTGTTCTGGAGATCCTGTGGAGCATTTGATATTTTATCTCAATTCTAGGATGTGTGAGATGTCCACCTGGGCCTACTGGCCCAATCGGGGCAGATGGACCAGCAGGAGAACAAGGTTTCGCAGGGTCGATGGGGATGATAGGGCCACCAGGAGAAGATGGAAGTATTGGTCTACAAGGTCAACCAGGTGAACAAGGACAGCCTGGACCTCCAGGATTTGATGGCATTCCTGGTCCAGATGGAATGTCCGGAACCACCTCGTTTCCAGGAGCACCTGGGCAACCAGGAGAGCCTGGATGGGCTGGGGAACCGGGTCTACCTGGTAAAGCCGGTGAGCCTGGTATGGACGGGAATCCAGGTATGCCTGGCGCACCCGGGTTGCCAGGAAATCCTGGTCATGATGCATTTCCTGGAATGCCGGGACAGATGGGAAAGCCTGGAGATCCTGGAGAGGACGCTCACTATTGTAATTGCCCTCAGCGAGAAGAGAAAGCAGACCTTGCACAGCTTTCAATACCAACAAGTGACACTGGTTATCTCAAACGACGTCTATAAGTAGATAGATTATCATGATCAAATAATAAATATTTCTGATCACACTTTTTCTCAAAAATTCAGCAGTGACGTTACATATGAAGGAGCAAACATACGTATGAATGTAAATATGAAGATATGCTGATTGTATAGTAATATGAAGTTACATTACCACACAAAAGCAACTT